TATGGAGCAAACCATCCTACCATTGTCCCCAGAGTCTGGATCAGAAACGCTGAAAATGGCAACTACAGTCTCTGGGGAGTTTTCTGGGATAGAGCTGCTGAGTGTCGACATGGTTAGTTCAGGAGCATTGTCATTCACATCCACCACTTCTATGGCCACTGTGCATTTTCCCAAAAAGCCCCCACCATCTGTGGCTACAATTTCCACGATATAATATTGAGTTGCCTCAAAATCCAATACCCTTTGCAGACGAATTTCTCCTGTTTTTTCGTGTATTACAAATGGTTGAGAAACTTCATCACCTTCAAATAAAGAATAGAATACACGCCCATAAGTTCCTGCATCTAAATCTCGAGCAGAGACAACGAGAACTAAGGAGTTTATGGGACTGTTCTCAGGAACCTGTACCTCATACAGGGACTGTAAAAATTCGGGGGCATTATCATTAATGTCTACCACCTCAATGCGAACTATGACAGTCCCAGACCTGGGCGGCGCCCCACCATCCAGGGCTGTGAGAGTTAAACGAAGCTCAGACTCTTCCTCCCGGTCCAGGGCTTTGCCCAACACCAGCTCTGGGTATTTTCTGCCATCACCGCGATTGTGAATAGCAACACGAAAATAGAAGTTGGGGCTGATTGTGTAGTTCTGAACACTGTTGCTACCCATGTCCAAGTCCTGAGCTGATTTCAAAGCAAACACAGACCCTGGCTGGACGCTCTCTGGGATTCTAAGGATCATTTCCCTGTCTAGGAACTCTGGAGAATGGTCATTTACATCTATGAGTTGCACATCAACTTGAAACAACTGCACTGGGTTTTCCAGTAACAGTTGGAAATGCAATACACAGGGTTCTGTAGCCCCACACAGCACCTCCCGGTCTAGTTTTTCCTGTAGAAGCAAATTGCCGGTTTTTACATCAAGCTGCAAGAGCTGTTTGCTGCCTTTGTGATGGATTCGTGCTCCCCGAGTGGCCAGCTCCCCCACCCTGAGCCCCAGATCTTTTGCCAGGTTGGCCACAGAGTAGCCGCTTTCT